CTCTCTCTCTCTCTCTCTCTCTCTCTCTCTCTCTCTCTCTCTCTCTCTCTCTCTCTCTCTCTCTCTCTCTCTCTCTTTTCTCCCCTAAATCACTCCTTCCTATTTTCATGTTCAATTCAAATTACATTCTTTTTTTTCATTTTTCTTTTTTCTTATATAAATGTATATCACTCAGCTCCAGCGAATTTGCCTACTTTGATATTAACAGATTCTTTTCGCTTATATCTTGAGATTGAATTAATTTTTAAAAACCATCTTTTCTCAGTACCATAAGTTAATATATATGTATATGTGTATATGCGTACAATACGTATACATATAATATTTACGAAAATGTTTAATATACATATATAGATCAAAAGCAGTCTTAGAAACTCTGTTCACGATATATGGAGATCGATATGAAATATTTATATATTAGCTTATAATATTTCCGTTCCACTTTGTTTGAATTAATTCAATCAAGATGGAGGCACATGTTCTTAATATAATATTAAACGCAAAGAAAGAAAATAAAAACATTCTAAAGAAATTTATATCGTTATAAGTTAAAAGAAAGTTAGTTTAAATTATTATAACACCAGCTTTCTCGGTTGTGCACTAGTAGTTCAAAAATTAAGTAGACATTCTTATCTGGAGCTGATGTAGATAATAAATTTTCATTTCAATTTTGATATGACATTAACGCTAAAAATAATATTCATCATCTGTATGATTTTCATTAGCATAATATTTTCTTTGAAATACTTCATTATCTTTTTTTTTTCTTTATCATCAATTACGAAAAAAAAGAAAATGTCACACAAAAAATAATTTAGATAAAAACAAATAATTCTATAAAATGTTATATATAATAGAATTTCGCAAGAATAAATTTTCATAGATATACTTAATATTTCCATTTTTTTATCATTTTTTTTACAAAGTACAATAATACCAAGCTTCTATTCTTATCCATATTAATTACGAATAATTTATACGTATATGATATATCATATTGAATGCTCAAGATTGCAAAACACTTTCACATATACTTTTTCTTTTACATCAAGGAGTGAATTGCGGACATAAAGTGCAAACTGGTAAATATACACAAATCAAATATGTTTATTGTACAATTTCTACTACTTACATTGACAACCGAAAAGCTCATTCAAAGAACTTTAAATGGGAACTGAATTTGTAAAGGAATCGCATTTTCTCTGCTTCACCTACGAATAGTTGTTTTACAATCGTTACAAATATACATATATATACAAACTAAATACTATTTCCCTTAAATTGGATAAAGTTTCATGATGTTTAACCCTTTTATAGTCTCATTGCCCATCGCACGAATAAAAAAATTTATGGATGGCAAAACAAAACACTTAGTTGTTTTTGTGCGGTACATCATGTACTTTTACATGTTAATTTTTTTTTTTTTTTTTTTTACATAGTAAGTTTCTTCTTAATAAATGTAAATATGACATAAAGTCACAATTTCAATTATTATATGAATCTAAGCATACGCTTAGAAACTGCTTGTTAGAACCACTAGGCCTGGCTAGAGTTTCTTAGCCTATTTGTGAAATAATTTTTCCTAGTATATGGGGTATTTCCAGACAATGTGGAATGGACTATTTCTTGTTAAAACCTTATTATTTTTAACACTTATGTGGTCATCCAATATTATGCCACAACTTTATCATATGTTTTAGTTTCTTATTTTAAGAAAGTTCTCTCTTTCTTTATATTATATTGGTTCATCATTTATTTTTTTTTAAATTCTAATTATATATATATATATTCCATTTCCTAGACCCTTTCACCCACCTGCATTCAGTTCTGATGTTTTTGCATATTTATACACAACCCAGCACAAAGAGGTATGTCAGTTTCCACTATATTGTGAACACGTAACCTCATTACGTCCACGCACTTAAAGAAAATGATCATTTATCTGGTACAAAAAAGTTATCAATACGACCATTTGATCGAGTTTTCTATGCACATAGGAGGGCCAGAAATAGTAGCAGCAATTAAAAATCACAAATTCCTCAGTTTTTTCCCAATTTGCCTACTATGACAATCTTTGTCGTTTTGGAGAGGGTGTAACCTCCGTATCCTCGTCTTCTTCGTCTGAATCTCCTTCGTAATCGACCAAGCCCTAAAAAATACATATTATTATAAATGTATCTTAGTAATCAATATAATATAATTTCCTAAATAATTAAATTTTTATAAAGGAAAAAAAACTTTACTTTTTTAAATAATGCAGTTCCAGTTTTTTCTACCGCGCCAATAGTTGAATTTGGATTAATTTCCGATGTAATCGGAGATTCATTCGTTGTTGTAGAGGAATTATTAATTTGTGATTGTTGTGAGGTAATATTATTATTAGCAGTATTATTATTTAACACAGACTGTTGTTGCTGCTGCTGTTGATGATGACTTTTAGAATCTGCAAGAGCAGGATTAAGTGCAGAATTTGAAGTTGATGACTGTTCTTAGCAGAAGCCGGAGGCACGAGATCTGCTGCTGTTGCGGGTACGATCGCCTCACCCTCATCAAAGTCTTCCTCTTCATTGAACCACATTTCTTCCTCTTCATCTAATTGTCTCTGGTCCCTTCTATATCGACTATTTCTCAGTATGGATGGAACGCTAAACAATTATAATTGAAATATATATATTAGATATATATTATATAATTATATATATATTAGAACTATTTTCTATAGAAGACAATTTGTTCAAGAAATTGTTTATTTAAAAATATATACCTATCAAGATTTGCTCTATCTCGATCCTTCAGCTTATCTTGATGTTGTTCATACCTTAATTTCAAAGCTTTAAATGTTTGTACATAATCAATTGCTTCTAATTCTTTCGAAAAATTTTCAACAACGTGTGAACATAACGATTTAATATCTTCCTACAATAAAATTAGATAAAATATATATAACTTTTTAATATATAACTTTTTTTTATATATAAAAAAGAAAAAAAAAGTGTATATACATGCTTACCAGTTTAATAAATTCAAACATTTCAAGAATAGCAGAATCCAGCAAATTATATCTACCATTATTTCTCACAAATGCATCAAATACAGGCGCAAATAAATTCCTTTAATAATATATCTGTTATAAAATTCATCTTTCAAAGCCACAATTTTTCTCATAAACCTTAAAGCACACAATACTAAAAATGTATGTGTTGATTTCATCAAAACTAGTATCCGTTTGAGCAGATCTTTGTTCAATATGCAATTTTTTATGTGATAAGTATGATGTTCTACACAAAATGATAGTAATTCTAAAATTAATCCTAAAAGCTGTACTGTTCTATAATCTTCTCTTGCTGGTCGTTCTCCAATTGTATTTGCTAACAATGGTGCTATCAATGTTCCAATACTATTTTTGTAAAAGTAATTTAAGAAATCAGTCTTTTCTGATTTGTTAACAGAAGCCAACATATTTTCTGGATCTAGGAGCAAGCGTAGCACACCGGCTAATTGTACCGCTCCACCCAACTCTGGATCACTATCACCAACAAGTTGAGCAACTATTACATTTATTAACATTTGGTCCTGTTCTGTATTATTTATTTGTTGCAATGTATAATCTCTAACAACACTTGGAGAATATTCTACTATATAAGTCAATATATCTATACTGGCGGTTTTTGTTTGGGCATCGTTCATTGCTAAAGTAATTTCTAGAGCAGGTAATATACCAAGTGCAGTTAAAGTTTTATAAAAGGCCTCCTTTCCTTGTGGTTGAAGATTCTGAGAAAAGTTACAAAATTCTTTTAAGAAAAGAACTAAATCTCGTCTTTTATTATCTGATGTTGCTTCATCAGTTAACTGACGAAATAGTTCAGTAAGAAATTTCTCGTCATCTTGTATTAAGGTTACTATTTCAACCTTATTAAAAAATATAAAGCTACTCAATGTGTTTAACATGTTATCCTCAAATACGCTTGGAGTTGGTAAAACTACATCTTGAATATACTGAACTCGATACGTTTGATGAATTTTAGCTAATAGCTCAGCGTTTGTAATAGGAATTGCTTGCTTAAATCTGGCTAACTGTCGAAGATATTCTCTATGCCTCTTTGGCTGAGGTAATGTTGGCTCATATTCCAAACATCCAACAACATCAAAAATTGTATCTTCACTAAACATAACTTCGAATAATGTGTTCTTATTAAGTAAGAAAATATTTTTAAATATGTCATACAAGTGATGCAATCCTTCAATATTTTCTAAATCTTCACAAGTATGAAATAGATTTAGTAGTTTTTTGATATAACCTTCTGATTCCAAAGCCAATGCTAATTTATCTTTTCGCATTTGAGAAGATAGACAATTTCCTATAAGTTCATTAATATCTTCCAATCGACTTAATTCACATGGAGGCAATTCTATTGGAGGTGCAGCATCTGACATATCATCAAATCGTTCATCTTCTGATTCTTCAACAATATCTTGAGTAATTTCAACAGATGGATCTTTTCCTTGAACTTGGCATATCTTCTCCCAAATTTCATCACAGCCAGCCTTTTCTTGAAAACTTAAGGCTAAATCAAAATTTTCTCCTTCTGACCAAACTATTAAAGTATCCTAAAATAAATAAGAAATTATTTTTTACAATTTTTATATTATTAATTTTTATTAATTTAATATATATATTTATGTGATTATATATTGTATATAAATAATATATAAATAAGTATAATATAAATTATATAAGTTTTAGTATATAATTATTTTTATTTTATTTTTAATTTTTTAAATTATTTTTTTTAAATTATTGATTAAATAATATTAAAAATTATTATTAAAAATTAATAAATTAATAATTAATTTTTTTTATTACCTGTTGCTTCTGATATGCTGTATCAGGTTGTATTCTACTTTCCAACAAAACTGAACCATCACTCTCTGCTCTAACTAAAAGTGAAATTCCTTTCAGTCTATCTACATATGAAGAAGAAACATGACCTGTACCACGATCATCCCATTGTCTATCAACATTAAGAGCATATAATTTTACTCTTCTACGTGTATCCGTCATGTTGTAAAAATTAACTTATAAACCCTATTTTATATCACCAACTATCTTGCATCCCTTTAAAATTTCACCAACTCTTTGGCTTTTTGAACAAATGTATGAATAATTCTCAACTTTCTAATATGTCGACAAATGCAACAAAATCTGCATATATCGATCTGTCATTTATTTCTTTGAAACCCATTAAGGCTTTTTATTACAAGGTTAACTTTATAAAACAAAAATACCTTGAAATATATATGATCCTTTTATAATTCTGATTCATATATAAGATTTTTTTTTTTGATAACTTAGACAAATTAATGACGTAATTGTTAATTAATAAATACACCATAAGGATTTTTTATTCATTTTTTAACAATTATTGACAATTTTACAGATTTCACCAGCTTATATATTCTTTCTTATCTTTTTCACTAATTCTGTAATATCTCGTTTAACAAACTTACACAATATTGAATTTTGTCACTAAAATTGTTAAAATAAAATTCGAGCAATGATGATCTGTCACGTAGTTCACATTCTTTCAAGTTCGATTGACGGAATAAGATTGTTTACCGTAATAGATGTTTATGCACTCTTCGTTGCATAAGCCTGATTCTTGCGCCAAGAAAACCTCTCAAGACGCGCGGGAAAACTACGTCGTGCACGTTTTCGTTATCACGTGTTGTGTATAAGGAAAGCTGTTAAATCTTAATTGTTTGTCAAATCAGTTGAAGAGACTAGCTTGTTATCGTAGAAGATCAAAAGAAAATTTTGTTGGTAAGGAGACGGCACTCTGCGTGCTCCCTCACCGCTGTGTACAGTTCCCGCGACAAACGAAACCCAAATTAAAGTCAATCCTTTTGTAATACAAATATTCATAAGTACACGATTATTTTATTCGATTTCTTGTAATATCACGATCGTCAACCATTGCAATTCTTCCGTTCTTATTAAGCAAAATCACTCTAAAATTGACATAGACACTGAGCAGCCACAACACTACACTCCGCCATGTTAGATCACAACAACGCGCTACGGGGTTCGCCTCATGTGTCTCAAGGATTTTAGCGCGTAATATGATAGTCTATATTTTATTGAATATTATTTTCATTAATGAGTGTATGTATGCAATAAATTGTTTAAAATAATTTGAAATTAAATTTAAAGCATTCAAATTCTGATATTTTAACTAAATATTCAATTAATATAATTTATTTTCCAATGTCGTATATCAATATTATTTGATACTATAAATATTACATAATATTACTAAGTTAGATATTTGTTAAATATGAACGTGTAATTTATACCTAAATAAAAATAAAATTTTATGTTATAAAATTATTTTGTATAATAATGCATACAATATTTTGTTTTTTTAAAATAATTCAATATTATATTGTATATTTATATATTAAATAAATATATTATATATTTATGATAAATTGATTAAATGACAGTGATAAAACAAAAATCAAAACATAAAAACAACAAAACAAATCTTATTAAAATAAAATCTAAAGAATAAAAGAATTAAAATAGTTAAAATTTAATTATTAAGAAGTTTTATCGTTCATAAATATTATATATGTCAATACATTACGTTAATTTCATAAATAATCATATAAAAATTTATTTATATAATTTTTTTTTGTAATATGATATATAAATATTTACATTTTTATAAATTAATACACAATTTCTTTTTCCAAAATAATTCATATTATAAAAAATTATTTAATGAAATTTGATTTGTATATATATGTATCGAGTTTCTATATTTAAATTATTAAAAAATAAGGTTATAATTATTTTTTAAATAATCAATAATATTTAATAAATAACTGATATAATTATTTATTTATATTTGTATATTATTATAATCATAATTATATGATAATTTTTAAAAATATATATTTTCATGTTTTTTTTTAAAAAAGAATTAATTATGAATAATTTAATAATGAATTATTAATGTTATGAATGTTATATATTATATGTTATAATATTGAATAATTAATTATTTAATTTTGTTTAAACAAAAAAATATCGTAATTTATTATAATGTATTTAATTCTTTTTTTATAATTTGTAACTATATTTAAAATTTTATTTTTAAATAAATTAGAATAATATACATCTTTTTCATTTAAAATGATTACATTTATATTTATTTTAAATCTTTCATTTACTTATAAATAATATAATTTATTTTATACTTATCTTCTATTATCTTATTTGATGTATATATTTATTCTTTAAAATTATTACAAATAACTTTGCATACATGAAATATATAAATGTATACAAATTTATATGATAAAAATAAAACATTAAATAGACAAATAAATTTATTACATATTTTGACAGTTATTTAAAACAATTATATTACAGTCATGTTATAATAACTGACATTACCATTCCCATATACAGACACAAGCATTCTTAATATGTAATAATTATTAAAATCTGTACATTAGTTTGTAGCATAAACAAAATTGACGAGATATTTTAAGTCATTTTTATAATATAAAAATTATGGAATAAAAAAAACTTAAACTAAATTCATTTCTAGATAAAGAATACAGAAACAATTTAATCAATATAATAGTTATTTTATGAAATTTATCAAAAAATCTATTGTAGACATGATATATACATGTATAAAGTAACTAAAGAACAAAAATTAGTTATAAAATTTATATGTTTTGCTTCTAAGATAATTTATATAAAAAAAAGACAAATTTATTATATTATTTTTTTTAAAGGATTATTTGATATATTTGTGATTATTATTGTAATATCAACTTTAAATTTCTAGCTCTTAACACAATTGTTACATTTTTTTTTCCAATTATTAATCGCATTTATAACCAGGCCTGTTATTGATCAAAGTACAATTATATTACACAAATTATCACATAATTTTATAAATATTTATTCTGCTGTAAGCTGAGCTGAAAATTTTTGTAGTCTTCGTCTTCGTAATATTTCTTGTTCATTCGAAGGTTCCATATCATTTCTAATTGATGATTCTGAAATTGTGTCGTTACTATTTGTGCCTGATAATGTATTTATATTATCATTGGAAGAATTTGCAGTAGGAACATTCATTTCAGTTTTAATTTGCAGTTGTTCATTATTAATTTCAGGACTTGTAGCTTTTGACATTCCTTGTTTTACTAATGCAGAAACATCTGTTGTAACATTTGTGTTATTTGTTGCAGTTGACATTGGAATACTATAATAAAAAAATCTTATAAAATGATAATATTAATTATTATTTTTTATTTTTATTAAAATATTTAAAAATTCATACTTAGCAGTAGCAGCTGCTGTTTGATATTGATTCATCATAGCATTGGCAGCATCTAATAAAAGCTGAACTCTTTGTAAGGTTTGTATTCTAGCTTCGACAGCTTGTCGCAAATTACCTTCCATTGCTCTAAGTTCTTCTTCGCTTAATTCTGTAAGATTTGGTGGTGGCGTAGGAATAGGAGGTAATGGTACCATAGTTGGAAATGGAGGAGGAAATAATGGTACACTATTAGCTGCCAAATTTTGGAATGATGTTGAAGGAATATTTGGTCCATTGTTTTGATTTTGTTGTTGTTGAGTTGTTGCATCTGAAGTTTGTTGCTGCTGTTGCTGCTGTTGTTGCTGTAGAGGTGGTGGTGCTCCTGGAGCTTGCATTCCAGCCCAAAATGCTGGGAGTACTTGAACTTTCAGTCAAGTCAATAAGATATAAATATTAGTTTTTTCTCCAATATCAATATGTAAAAATAAACATACCAATTGGATTAAATCCTGCTGCTTGTGGAGCTTGAGGCACTTGAGGTCCTGCCTGTGCCTGATTTTGTTGTCTATTTCCTTGATTAATATTAACAGGTCTTAAAATGTTCAAGCGGCATGTTGGACATGTTTGTTGACGTTGAAACCAAGAACGAAGACAGGCAGTATGGAAAATATGATTGCATGGTAGTTTTTTACTTGCTGCTACCATTTCTTCTCTAAAATATTAGAGAATACATTTTTAATATTATATAAACATTCATATATATATAAAAACTTCATTTCTGATTAATTAATATTGTTAATTTGTATAAAATTTTTACCTGCATATAATACACACATTATCAGCAGCAGCTAATTCTTCTGCTGTTGCATCTGGATATAATGTATTCATATTTCTGATAGCTCGACGTGACATTACAATGTCATGAAAAGCTTTTTTAAAATCTCTCATTGTATAATACATTGCACGAAGTGCAAACAAAGGTAAAGTATATAATTTCACCATCAAAGTAACAAAGGCAACATATAAAATAACCTAATATTAATATATTATATTAAATTCAATTTAATAATTAAATTTAATAATTTTATAAATATTTGAAAAATAATGTTATTAATTTATTTCACCTTTAATAATCCAATTATCAATTCTGTATATAATAGAAATACTGGTTTATTATCCCATGGATTTTCGCTTTGTAGATCTATTGTATGTAATATATACTTCACACTAATATTGAATACAATAGTTAAAAGAATAGCATATTCAAAACCAAAGACAAGTTGTACTGAAGGACCTTTTGTAGCTGTTGTATTATATGCATAATGAATCATAGTTAAATTTATAACAAATAATAGAACTAATAGAGTACCAACTCTAAGATGGAATAACCAAGTTATTACAGGACTTCTTTCCATCTAAAAATTAATAAAATATTTTATATTCTGACATTATTTATTAAGTCATTCATATTACTTACATAATCTACACGATCTTCTGCTAACCAATGAAATGATTTCAGAAATAAAAGAAGAGTAAATAATGCTATGAATTTTGGACTAAAATCATCTCTAAACACTGTAAATGCTAGACAAGTTTCAGTCACTGCATACCATACTTTTTCCAACAAATGCTATAAATAAATAATTCTTTATATATACCAATATATTTTTGAAATTTTATTAATTATATCAAATATATTGTTTATTTACCTCAAGTTCAGCAGCACGTAAAGTACCAAAAAATATCTTTCGCAAGAAAGCATTTATCATAAATACTAGAATTAAACCTTGAGTATAGATAACCTAAATTTTATACAATTAAACAAATGAAAAAATTTTTATATAATTTTATATAAATATTCAGAAATATCAATTATAATATAATTAAAGCATAATTTAAACAGAAAATTTAAAAAAGATAATATTGAAATTTACCGTCATACTAGGATTAGATTTGGTTATGTGAACTACTGTTGGATAGAACTGTTTTCTTTGATAATAAGCATTGCCTATCACAGCACATGTTAATGCTGTGCTTATTAACATTATTCCAGCCTCTCTCATTTTTGCGCGGACTATTATTTCAGCCCAAAGGCTGTTCTTTTTAAATATAAGTAAGATTCACTGACACTTATTTCACCAACAATTTACGTATAAACAGCTGTAGATCCAACTAGAATCAACGAGGCGCTGTTATCATAACGACAGTATCCAAAACTACATACATTTGTAATTTTAATATTTTATATTATAAAATAATTATTAAATATTATTATTTTGTATTATACCTTATTATCTAAACATTGGAGAAAATTTTATTTCACAATGAATATAGAACTTTCGTGTCATAGTTATATTATTTGTGTATAATGAACGTGTATTATTTTTACTTGACAGTTCCAGATGTGACGGTAAAATCTGATTGGTGCAACTATGAATAAATATGCTAAAATTAAATTTAAATCACGTGAAATGATAAATTTAATTTAATTTTTATTTATTTTTTTATTTTATATTAAATATACTTTTTCAAATAATATTCCAATAATAATATATATATTAATGAGTATAAAATTATATAAATTTTACATTTATGAACAAATTATAATATATATATGGATTATAAAACACAAAATATGCTACATTATCAAAAATATTAAAACATAATATCATAATATTAAAAATATAAAACAAAATATTAAAAATATATTTAGTATTTACATATTTGTATTTTTCAAATTACATATAAGAAATTTAATTCGAATAGCATAAACTTCGAATTTTTCAAAAATATTATTGCAATTAAAAATATAATTTAAAAAATGTTTATACTTAATAACATTATAATAATTTTAAAAATAAACACAAAACACATATAGAAATACAGAATTTTTTTAAAAAAATGTTTAAAAATGTCTTATATTTTATGATATAAAAATGTATTTGAATATATTTATTACATGCTTATGTTTTCATTTTCTTTCAATATTTAAAATTATTTTTTACTATATTTATATGATAATATATCATATATAAAAATACAATTATTAAAAATGTTATAAAAATTAATTTTTCTTTTAAATTTTGTTATGATATTCTAAATTACAATAGTACTTTTATCAATTTATAAATGAATGTAATATAAAATAAATTTTTCTGAATATATTTTTAACAAATTTGTATCTTATTAAGTACATGTATGTCTATTAATATTTCTTGTTGTTTTTACAATATTTTTAGGATTCTGATATTTTGAAGTTTCTAATTGACTAACAGCTTTTAAAGGTGTTCTATGAGAATCTACAATAGGTCTTCTCACTAATGCTTTGCCATTTTTAGGTGTTTTTGCAGTTAATGATTTCTTAATATGTGGAGTTTTACACAACACATTATTATCAGTATTATATGTATTTAATCTTGACTCATGAGTTATATTCATAGGCATTTTTTTCATCAGCAATGTTTTAACAGCCATATTTTCTTTTTGATGAGTAATTGTATTACATGATATAGAATCTTTTTCTAAAATACAATAACACATTTCATTATCTTTTTTTTATTTTCAGTTTCCATATAAGGAGAATGTTTTAATATTTTTGGACTTCTATTTTTTATATTTTTATTTGACTTTCGACATAATTCAATTCGTTCACAGTTCTGTTTTATATTATTTGTACAATGATCATCTTCTGTATTAAATAAATCATTTTTCTTATTTATACTATTTTGAGCATACATTTTTGTTGTACATTCATCAAATAATTTAGCTTTAGCTAGTACCATTCCTGCATTCTGAGTTCTTAATTTTGCAATTGATGCACGGCCAGTTTGAATAATTGGAGAATTTATTTGATTTGTTGATGTAAAATATCTATCTGCATCTTTCCAAGACATGACTTTCTTCTTTCCTTCAGATCTAGGAATTAATTTAGCCACAGATGTTTTATTTAAAATCATATTTTGTTGGCTATTTGTCTTTTTTAGTTTTTCAATTTTATCATTGGAATAAATAGTTGCATTTGTAAGTTCATTACCATGAAAAGACGACACTCGACGTACCGTCATATTTGTTCGATTTTTTATTGGCTGAACAGAATTTTGATGATCTTTTGTGTATATATTTGAATTATTAAACTCGTTATTTAAAATTATATTATTTTTTTCTTCTTCCCAAAAAGAAGTAGATATAGGTTGTAAGTAAGTATCATCCTTTGTATAATTTAATGAAAAAATTTTTTCCTTATGAGAATAGGCATTATTTAAATCTTGATCTGATTTTATATATGATTGTAATCCATGGGAAATATGCCATGAAGCACTTCGTCTAACACGTTTACTAGAAAAATTAATGATTATAAAATAACAAAATATAAAAATTTATTATTAAAAATACAATTTATTTACCTCATTATTTTTTCTTGCGATCTTCTTTTTAAACTTCCTATTTTTCGAGCGCTTGGAGATCTAATAATTTTATGTTCACTTGATCTTCTAATTTTTAGTTCTTTACCAAGTTTCTTAGCTAAATAATCAGCTGTTACTGTATTTTCAATACTAGCTTCTTCTAATGTTTTTTCATATGCAGTTTGTACTTTTTTTACAGAATGCAATAACAAATCATCATTATTCTCATTATTTTCGGTATTTATACATTTGAATTCTTGAGAAAGACGAGATTCAATTGCCGAAACTCTATTTTTAATTTCTTCATATTCACTTTTAGGTATTGTAACATATTCCTCTGACTGTTTATTTACAGATGTGACTTGAAAATGTGAGTATGTTTCAAAATTATTTAATTTCCTTTTCGCTGAATATACATGCTTTTGATCAAAATTATCTGAAATTTTTAGTTCTTCTGAACTTGAATTTATTTGTGAATGTCGATTGCTATATTTAATATTATCTTCTTCTATTGATAAGACCTGCTCATCACTATCTGACAAATTAACATCCGCATCAATAAACATATTATTATATTCTCTGTGAAGATCATTTGATACTTCATTATCTTTTAAAATTAATTTTAAGTGCGATGAACCATCGCTATATGATCTATAAGTTCTTTGTGAATCATGAGAATTATAAATAGAACTCCATCGTCGATTTGTATGAGCATTAAGAATATTTGTACATAATTCTTTACTTTCATTAACAGCTTTCTGTAAATATACGAGTATTTTGTACATTATGAAAATTAAATTATAAAATTAAAATTATTAAATATTATAAAATTAAATTAATTATTAAACTAATCATTTTAACATTCTTACTGGCTTTTTTGGTACAAAACGGTCCAAACTAAGCCTAATTTTTTTGGATTTATCTATTTTATCTGCAATTTTTCTAAAACATAAAATAATTGATATTTAAAATTAATAAATATAAGTAAATAAATATATATATATTTTTTAATTATATTTATGATAAGAAAAAAGAAAACAAGTTAAATACATACTTCTTTTTTGTATTTGGTGAATCTAAATAATCAACTTTTCTTTTTTTTGTGGATTTAATATTTGGTGCATGTATTGAATCAGTATTTTCAAGAATCTTTTGACTATCATATATATTATCTTCAGATGCAACATTTTTACTAACAATCTTTTTTAAGCCATTAAACATTCCTACAAAAAAATATTTAAATTTTATGGAATTCTACATTTATAAAAAATTTTGATCTGTCAAGTAATTAAATTAAATTAATTGAATTATATATTTGTTAGAATATATATTTATATTTATTTTATAAAATTTTCATTGTATGTTTCATTATTAATATCAATACAATATGAATAAAATTCAGAACTAAATTACTATGAACAGATCGACAGACATACTTAGATTGAGGTTGGAGGCACTTAGATGTGGCTTACGTGTAAGACTTCCACTGCGATGTTTTTTTTTTTCGATTTTGAGTGTAAATGATCGGATATATTTAATTCATTATCTGTACTGCCAATTGTTTCCATAGAAATAATTTGTGTTATATGATCTGGTAAAACACCAATACTTTCTGCATTTTCAATTAAAGTCTACAATAATATTTAAAATAAATGTTATTTTATATTAAATAAAAGTGATCATTTTTAAAACAAATATATTACCTTAACAACAATTAAATGTAATTCAAGACGCATTTGTACAGCAGACATAGTAGTTTTTTGTAAAGGCATAATATTTGGTCCAATAACTTTTGCTAAATTATCAATACTCATTTTATTTTGTTTTTCATATAATGATACTTTTTTTAAAAATTCCATAAAAAATGCTAAAGTATTTAAATGATGTGGTGGTAAAAGGATACAAGCCAATAACAATGCTTGTACACAATAAGTTTTAAGCATGACACAATGCACAAATAAATCATGGTATGTATATGGAATTAATGGTTCTGGTAAATCTCTAAAAAAAGTTTTTAAACAATTAGCTACATCAACAGCATGATGTTTTTCTCCTAAACTGCCACCATTATCTAAACGCATTATTAATTCTTTTTGTCTAAGCTGTGATCCTGCTTTTCTGAATAATCCTTCTTGAGTAATATATTTTTCTAAAAATGTAGATGCTTGGCTAACAAAAACAGGAACATGTACAATGGCACCAGAAGATAAATTCACAACATCTAATGGTTGATATAACAAAGAAATTTTAAAAATTTTTTTTGAAATATGTTTAATTTCTTCGAATCTTTCTGTTTTAAACATATTCTTTTTTAAACGATATTTAACTCCGTAATTACGAAGATCATTAATAATTGAATGATATACTGTTTCTTTGTGTAAAATATCATAAATCAACATGTTTGTATTTTAAAAATATAGGTTTTTCAATCATAAATTATAATAAAAATCTTTTATTTATAAAATACGAGAATATGATACAATTTTCATGTTTATACAAACATACTAAAACGTGCAATCGTATTGAATTTATCATATAAAAACTAATATACATTGTGACCAACTACACAATATTTCTTATATATTCCTAGAAAATATGATCATTTAAATAAAATAATAACTTTTTTGATTTATTTTAAAAATATGTAAAATAATATTTCTAATATTTATAATATTGTATATATAAAATATATTTTATATAATATTTTTTTTTATATAAATTATAATTTTAAATATTTCATGTATAAAAAAAACTGATTAAAGTAGTACAAAATATTAATAAATTATTATAAAATATTATGATAAATAAAAAATAAAAATTAAATAATCATGATAACATTATTAAAATCTATAATTTATATATAATATATCAATTTTGATATAAATTATAGAAATATAATACAAATTAAAAATTTAAGAATTTAAGAATTTTAATTCTATTATTATATATCAATATTATGATTTTTTATATAACTTTTCTTCAATTAATAATTTTATTAATTTCATTATATAATTTTTTTTTATTTTTGTAATATTATATTTTTTTATTATAGTTTATCATTTTTTTATTTTTTGATTTAATAATATATTATATGTGTTTTTAAGTGATATTAAACAAAAAAAATCAAGGATTTATTAATTTTATAATATTACCAACAGTGCAATATTTTTAGCTTAGTTTCATTCATAAGGATAATTTTCATTTAATTTACAAAATATTATTTAAATCTTAGTTATATTTTTTATATATTAAATAATAAAATTTTATAACATCTACATAATATTGATGTGAAAATTGATATATAATTTTAATATAATTTTCATATTTTATATATATAATATTATTTTCATATTTTTTAAAAAAATTGATTGAACAATTAAACATATTATAAATGATCAAACACATTTTAAATGATCATTAGAAAAATCATGAGTTTTAAATCTATGTTTTAAATTATCTATGATTTTAATATAAAGCGGGAATATAATTTATATAAGTTGTTTAAATTCTAAATTTTTTAAATCTTATTTATGATATTTTATACTATTATATAAGTATATATTTTTATATTATAAATTTTTATATGCTTATTATATGTCTAAGAAACATGCTTAGATATCGTAATTATTTATTTAATACTAGCCAATGTATAATGTATCAATTTGTCAATTGTTTTTTCGTAACAATTCAACAGCGATTTTTGGTACAATCATCATGTAAGTATTATATTTAATTTATTTGAATTTTCTCATTTAATGGTTTTACTTAATTTTTAGTACAAATGTAAATTTAAATCATATTTTGTAACTGACTAGTTTGAAAATTTACTATATGAACATTTCAAGATATTTTAGTCTTACAATACAACAAAATTTCTATTTCTTTTATGTTATGATGTGAATAAAGATATTTTTCAATATCTAACATAATCTCTATTAACAATCGCAAAATTTACCACAGATCAATAAATGTGAAACATATATGTAACTCTTTCTCTATAAACTTGAACTTATGTATTCAGAACAGTACAAGTCTGATCTAACTTTAGAAATTGATTTTGTATCCAAATAGCACTTCTATAAAGTAGTTAATTTTTATATACATAAAATAATACTAATATATATATTATAATACTTTATAATAATTTAAAATTATTGCAATAATTTGATGATAGGAATATACTAATAAAATATTATTATAAATTATTTAAATCAATTTTTACAAATATTTTTTACAGCAGATCAATTGAAAAAAGAAAATATGCAAACAGTACAATTATTGTCAGGATATGATATGCCTATTGTGGGTTTAGGTACATGGCAGGTGATTTAATTATTACATTGAAGCTGAAATTATTATTTTAAATTCAATTACTTTTATGTGTAAATTAGTTTATATTTTACATTTAAATTTGTATAATATTGAATGTTTCATAGGCTAAGGCTGAAGATATTGAAAATGTTGTGACATTTGCTCTAGAAATTGGCTATAGACATATTGATACTGCATTTAATTATAATAATGAAGAAGCAATTGGAGAAGTATTAAAAAAAATGGTTTGAAAAAGGTGGAAAACGTGAAGATCTTTTCATCACTTCAAAGGTAATTTATGTACACAGAAAACAATTTATATATTTAAAAATAAAAAATTTTTATTCATTTTTTAGTTACCCCATTATGGAAATCGACCATCAGATGTAGAAAAATTTATTAATTTATCACTGAAAAAACTTGGATTAGATTATTTAGATATGTACTTAATCCATATGCCTTTTGCTTTTAAGTTAGATGAAAATGCTTATACTCCAGCAGTTCATGAAGATGGAACTTATGTGTTAGATCTTGACACAAATCCTGTTTCAGTGTGGAAAGTTAATACTTATTAATGAATTATTATGAATTTTAATAATAAATATTAATAATTTATAATTCATCATTTTTTAAATTGTTTTAGGAAATGGAAGAACAAGTAAGAAAAGGTCGTACAAAATCTATAGGTTTAAGTAATTTTAATGAAAAACAGGTGTTAGATATATGGGAAAATGCACAAATTAAACCAAGTAACTTACAAGTAAGTTTGAAATGTAAATAAATTATTATACTTTTTTTCAATATTTTTATAATAAGAAATATATAAATAAATCTATATTTTAATTATTATTAGATAGAATTACATGCATATCTACAACAAAATTCACTTCGACAATTGTGTCAAATGCACAATATTATTATAACAGCTTATAGTCCTTTGGCATCACCTGGAGCTAAAATTCATCTTCAAACAAAATATAAACATAATATTGAAAATTTCCCAGATCTTCTAGGACATCCAACAGTACAAAAAATAAGCGCAGAATATAAAAAATCACCAGCACAAATTTTATTACGTTACTTATTGCAAATAGGTGTTGTTGTAATACCAAAAAGTTCATCTTTCGAAAGACTAAAAACAAATATTGACTTATTTAATTTTTCATTAAGAGAAGAAGAAACAAAACTTTTAAGTACTTTAGATAAAGGTCCACGTGGAAGAATTTTTAATTTTTGTTTTTTAAGGGGTAAATATATTTATTAAAAATACTTCATTCCAAAAAAGAATATATAAGAATATAAAAATATAAAATTTTGTTATGTTATTTACTTTAGGGTTGAGAATCATCCACATTATCCATTTAAGGATGAATTACAATCCTAATTAAAAAAAAAGATTATTAATATGTAGTTTAAATATATACATATTTATATATTGAAATGAATGAAATATGGAAACTATATATAATAACAAATAAATATAATTAAAATGCAAATATAAAATGTCATTACATTTCAATGCAATCTGTATAGCATTTTACGTTGCATACGGTGTTGAAGTTCCCCACGTCGTATCATTGTATGTATAACTTTATAAATAGCACGTTCTGGATATGCTTGTTTTACAAAATCTTTAACAATATTTTGCTCTGATACTTGATTCCCAATAGGAAATCTACGTTTCAATTGTTTTTCAATACGTGATAACATTTCGTGATCTTCATCCGAGGTAAATCCTTCAGCACCTAAATTTTTAAAAAATAATATAATAAAAAACAGAACATATTATTGATTTCATTCTAGATTACCAGCTAATGATCCAGACATTGCAGCATCTAAAGTAGATACTTGGAAAAGCCTAAGTGCTTCATTCACATGAATTTCTGTAGCAAAAGATTGCAATTGCATTTTAGCTAAAGATTCCGAAATTCTTATAATAGCTTCTAATTGACGAACTGTTATAGGAATGGATAATCTTTTTTCTATGTCTTTTTCATGTTCTCTAGTACTTGCTCGCATTACAACATAACGATTTTTTAATTTCTCTCCTGCCTCTTTACTTAGTCTTGGACCACATTGACTGTAAAAGTTATATAAATTAATAAAAAATAATTAAATATTTTAAAATAATGAATAACCTTACGTTCTACAATAATGAATATATTTTTTTAAAATATGCAATGGCAATTCTCCTTCGGCAGATTGTTCCGTAACTTGTGTAGCATTGCAATGAATATTCATTACATGTTTTGCTAATGTTACATCTTTATTTAATTCGTGTTCATCTTTAACAATGAATATCATATCAAAACGTGATAAAATTGTTGGCATAAAATCAATATTTTCTTCTCCTTTTATATCATCCCAACGTCCAAATATTGAATTTGCTGCTGCTAAAACAGAACAACGAGTATTTAATGTTGTAGTTATTCCTGCTTTTGCAATAGATATTGTTTGTTGTTCCATAGCTTCATGTATTGCAACTCTATCATCCTCTTTCATTTTATCAAATTCATCTATACAGACAACACCACCATCTGCAAGAACCATAGCACCTCCTTCCATAACAAAATTTCTCTAAAAGTTAAATGAAATATTTTAATAAAAATGAAATATGAAATATGGAAATTATTAATAACTTACTGTTACGGGATCTCTTAATACTGATGCTGTTAAACCTGCAGCTGAACTTCCTTTCCCAGATGTATAAATTGCAACTGGTGCAATTCTTTCTACAAATTTTAATAATTGTGATTTAGCTGTACCAGGGTCACCTAACATTAAAATATTAATATCTCCTCTCCTACAAAGACCATCAGGCATTTTTTTTCTAGAACCACCAAATAATAAACAAGCTATAGCTTTTTTTATATCTAATGCACCAAAAATACTAGGAGCTATACTTCTTGCAATTCTTTCATATAAATTAGAATCTGATGCAAAACGTCTAAATAAATCTTCTTCTTCATTTGTAACACATGAATGAGAACCTAAAAATCATAGAAAAAAAATAAAAAAATTTATATATATATAATTATATATATAATTTTACCATTGCCTGTATTTTCTCCATCTACAGAAATACCAATTACTCTTATATATGGTGCTCGAACACCAATTAATGCTTTATCTTTTCCTCCTCTATTACCAGTAGTTTTAGTAACTTTTTTAATTGAATATATGCCCAAAATAAGAACTCTATTGCCTGGTACAACTCTATCGCATAAATAACGATCACAATACAATTGTAAATGTCTTGGCATTTCACCTTGTGGAATTTGATCTGGTAATTCTTGTAGTTTGAGAACTTGAAAATCAACACAGTGACATTTATCTGGCATTATAAAAAATGGATCCAATGGACATTTTGGTCGTCCTGCTTGTTCTGTTGTACATTTTCTAGGTAAAACATATCCTTCTAAACCAGGTTTAATTGAAATATTACTTTGCATACTTCTACAAGAACGACATTGTATAGCAATTTTTGTTGCTTTTGCTCTAATTCCAGATGCCGAAATGATAATACCAGGTATTTTAATAAGTTTAGAAACTGCATCAGGCTAAAAAAATAATATGATCATAAACTAAAACAATAAACTACATAAATTTTAATTCTTTATAATATAAAATTTTTCCTTTTTAAATATAAAATAATTTTAAGTTTTACTTTGATTCCTCTTAAGGAACTTGGATGTGCATCTGAAGATAGTAAAACTTGTATGTCTTCAACTTTTTCTTCGCCTTCTGGCCTTGGGGCTGTAAGTTCATCTGCTAAATCTTTAGCAGCTTCTTCTAAAATAGGTAAATATTCAGTTGGATGTTTATATACTTTTTCTGCTAGTGATTCATCAAAAGCTGCTAAATCTTCTAAATTAATTTCTATCCAATATTGACTCAAATTATAATTACGTTTTAAGATATCTCTGAAAGATTATATTATTAATAAAATATATTGAATATTATATATTATTTTGAAATATACTTAAGGTATATATTTAAGATATAATATAATATTTTAATATAATATATAATTAAATTTTTATATATTGGAAAATTATAACTTAAAATTATAACTTTAAATACCTATATTTATAATTGAAATTTCCTTCATGAAATTGTCTAATAAATTCCATAAACTTCTTTTTCGAAAATTGAAGATTTGTTTGAGTGTCATTAGATTCACTTACTGAAAAATTATCAGAAAAAAATATTCCTGGATCATCAAATCCTTCCATTTTGAGTTAATTTTTTATTAATTTTAGTAAAATATAAGCATTCAACACTGTAAAAAAATATTGGCGGGAAATACTTTATGGATATTCTTCGAATATTATAACATAAAATAAGAAAATAGAGATATAATGCTTTATAGTCATATTTGTTTATAGTTATATTGTGAAATATGTATAGAATATAAAATAAAGATTAAAATAAACAAATTAAACAATATTTGTATTAAATTTAAATAATATATTATTATAAAATTATTAAATTATTCGATTATTATTAAATTATTACTGCCGTAAAAATTATTTATAAGTAAAAAAATATAAAAAAAATATTCAGAAAGAATACAAATTCAATTAGTTGTTTCTAATAAATCCAATTTTTAAAAAAATAATTATTGGCTTAAAATTTTATATTCAAATCAATTATATAGTAATATTACAATAAGCGAATCAAATACGAGTAACTGGATTTCTTCTTTACCTTTATAAGAGTACCATCTTAATATCAGTAATACATAGATTCTATCGAGAATTTTCCAATCTACTGTATGTACAGTTTTTAACCGTATATAAACTGAAGTAATCGAAGTGTTATGTTTCATCTCTTATTTTTTTATGTTTCATTGGAACATTGTTTAAAACAATATTTATAATAAATACTTTTTATTATTCTTATAATTATTTTCAATTCATCTAAACAAAAAGAAATTGATGTATTGCGTAAATTGTTTTAAACTTTCTTTCTAATAAACTGTTTAATATAGTAAATTATTTTTAAAAAAAAATTTTTTATAAATTATAAAATGTTAACGATAAATTATATTATTTCAGTGAATCTTTTATTTTTTAGTTAAGGTAAATAATATAAAATTTTAAAGAATTAATTTTATAATATTAATGATTAATTTTAAGAATTAATTTTATAATAGAATGAATGGAAAATTAATTAGAATGTTATTTTAAATAAAAATTACTACAATTAAATTTATTTTTGTAAATAAAATGTTCAAATTTTTATAAATTTTTAATTTTATCGATATTTATAGAAATAAGATATATTAAAACGAAATATACGAATATTTTAATTCATCACATATGTTGACATATTTTAAACTTCATCTGAAAGTTTATTAATTTTATTTAAAATATAAACAAATTATTTTATATTCTATCTTTTATTTCTTCTAATTATTATTATAATTTATTAATTAATATAAATATAATTTATTTTATTATATTTTTATTTATTTTAATATAAATATAAATTTATATATTATATATAATTTATATTACAATAATTTATATATATATAATTATAAATTTTATAGATATTTTTAATATTAAAAATTTTTATGTTTAATTAATATTAATTTAATAATTAATAATCATTATAAAAATGTTATTAATTCTTATCATTTATCATTATTAATTTTATTGATTAAAAAAGAAATTAATTTTATTTCAGATTTATGTTATTAATTTAATACAAATGATTCTTTATTTAATAAGAAAACATATTTCATCTATGCAAAAGGCACAATTAAAAATTAATTAAAAAAAAATATCATGTCAAAAATAACATCGAAAACTAAGAATACTATTATTAAAATATCAAAAATGAAAAATTCCACTGAAATAATAAATACAAGATCCATAACAAAAATCAAAAATACAAAAAATAGAAAAGGTAAAACATCTATTTCAAAAACTAAAGAAATCACTCCAAAAGAAAAACATAAAATTACAAGAAATAAAAAGTTATCTAAGGAAGATATTAATGATACAGTGAAATCAGAAAATATTGTTACACATAATAATTCTAATATGAATAATCAAGAATCAAAAAATAAAAAAAGAAAACTTATTACAAGAGTAAAAAAGAATATTTCAAAGCAAATGTCTTTAAAAGAATCATTTTTAAACCAATCTAAAATACATTTTTTAAGATCTTCTAAAAATTCTAAGAAGTCTATGAGTGGAATATCAACAAAGAAATTATCTACTAATAAAAAAAAATTACCAATTTATAAACATGTTTCACCAGAAAAGCAGAAAGAAAATGTCAGTGAAATATATGAATTTAAATTTGATATTAATGATTCAAATGAAAGATTACCAAAGAAACAAAAAAGAAAAATAGTTACTAAAAGAAAAGTTACAAATAGAAAAAAGAAAAATATCCCTGTGAAACAAGTTGCTAAAAAAAAATCAATTATTAAAAAAAGTGAAGAAATTAAAAATTCAGATTTTGTAGAATTTGAAATTAAAAAAAAGATTCTATGGAACATTTGAATATTAGAGATAATATATTAAAAGAAAATTTAGTAAAAAATCTTAAACCAAATATAGAAGTAAATAAACAAGTGAAGAGTTCAGAAAATATAATCAAAGAACGTACTATTGATGAATTAGTTACAAAACCTACAATTATATCAGTAAAAGATTTAAGTGATAAAAGAATTTCAATAATAGATACTTCACAAATATCAAATTCAAATGATTTTAAACCATTTAGGCCAACAAATATTTTTAATAATAAACAAATGATACAACAAAATAATACACTTAATTATTCTTTATTTGAAAAATCTTTATCACCAATTAGAAAATCATTAGAAAATTCTCAGATGCTCTGCAGTCCTTGGAGAGCATCATTACTTACATTTTCTCAAGTAAAAAATGTATTTCAAAGCACACCTAAAAATAATAATTATGATATTATTAGTAAAAAACTTGTACGAACATTAAATGAATCTAAACAATTTGGAAATATAACAAAAACAAAAAACATTTTACAAAAAAATAATGAAAATATAAGTAAAGAAGAGCATATAAATACTAATACTCCCAAAAAGAAAAATCCTTTAACTTCAAGAAAATTTGGTACAGAAATTACAAATATCGATCACTCCTTACAATTTAAATCTTCAATAGAACAAATAAATGAACATATACCAATTGAAACTGAAAATATTCAGTCAAATATACAATCAATCAGTGTTACTTCTAATGTAAATAATGCATTTAAATTTGACAATAAAGAAATTAAAAAAAATATTACATTAAGTCCAAAAAAAAATCTTAAAAAAGAAATAATTAGCACACAAGTTCAAGAAAATATATTAAATGTAAAAGCTAATGAACAAAAAGAAAATTTTATTTCTCAACCTGGACCATCAGGTTTACAAAGTAATTCAATTTTTAATGAGAAAAGAATTCTGAAACAATCAAATTTAAATAATTTCCTTAATATAATGGAACTACCACAATGCACAACAATTAAAACACCACATGGAATTTTTGATGATACACAATCAATATCAATAATCAATAAATCAATAAAGAAAGTTAATGAATCTAATATAAAATTAAATAACACATTTGGTTTTAGTGATAGTGAATCTGATCAAGAGGTATCTTCTATTAAGCATAAAATTGAAAGTAACAAACAAGAAAAATTTATTCAATCGAATGTAATTATACATGACATAAAACTTACTGCAAGATTATCAATTGATGAGATAAAAAATAAGTTGCTTATTAAAAATTTAAAAGAAGAGAAAGATACACATAATAAAGAAAATATATTAATTAAAAATAAAGAAATAAAAAAATTACCCATTAAGAAAAAAAGAAACAAATTGATATTTTGAATTTTTCTGATACATTTGATATTCTATCTGAAACAGGTGAAACATCTCTAGTGTCTTCGTCTAATATTCCACTATTTACTGATTTTGAACCATCTCACTTTACACAGGTATAGTTTCTAATCATTATTAATAAATTAAATTTTTTTAAATTACTAATAATAATCTAATATATATATATGTTTTAGCCTCCACGACATTCATATAAACGCAAACGTAATGTAAAATATAGTTTTTCTGAAGAAGAAAATGAAGAAGAGGAAATGGAATCAATTGAACATGAAGTAAAACGAAAGAAAACTAATAAATTGAAAATGGAGCAAGAAAAAAGATTACAGAAATGGGTCCAGGACATCAACAGAACTTTTCATGAAATAGATCAGCATGAACTTGTAATTGAATAAATTTATTATTATCATAAAAAGATGAAACAAATATTATTAATTTTAAAAAAATATATATTAATAATTTTTATTATTTTATCATAGATATTTTATTATTATTTTTATTAAGAATATATAAATTTTTGAATAATACTTGTAACAATATAATAGATTAAAGACTTTTTGTTTATATAAAAAAAGTAATTTTATATTTTCAGCCTGTATATATGCATTTGATATAAATATATAATAATATTATAAATATTATAAAAATAAATAATTTTTATACATCATATATAATTATTAAATTATAAAAAAAATATAAAATAATATAATAAGTAATATAAATAAAAAAATATAATTATTTGAATTATTCCTATTTATCTATTATATATATATATATATACACACATATATTATGTGTGTATATTTTTTTATTTAGCAAATAAATAATTATTATGAGTATTATAATAAATTTAAAAAAAATTTTTTATTGTATGTCAATTTTATTTTATTAATTTTAAACATTTTATTTTCATATATATTATAATATGTTATAATATATATTTTTTATAATATCAATATATGTTCTACTCATAAACTTTAAAAAATAAATTTTTTAGTTATTCATCATTTAATATTATTTAATATTATAGATTTATATCATAAATATATATTAAATATATTTTAAATAATTATTTTATATGTGAATTTAAATATTTGTATTTTTTGTTTGATTATTTCTACTTATATATGTCATTAATATAAAATATATTTATATTATTATATATAGCTGACATCGTGCGTGCACGCATACACATATATATTCTATTCTTAACACATATGTGGAATATTAATCATTTTATAAATATCAATATATGTTCTACTCATAAACTTTAAAAAATAAATTTTTTAGTTATTCATCATTTAATATTATTTAATATTATAGATTTATATCATAAATATATATTAAATATATTTTAAATAATTATTTTATATGTGAATTTAAATATTTGTATTTTTTGTTTGATTATTTCTACTTATATATGTCATTAATATAAAATATATTTATATTATTATATATAGCTGACATCGTGCGTGCACGCATACACATATATATTCTATTCTTAACACATATGTGGAATATTAATCATTTCTAATAATTATTTATGTATATTTATACATGAGATATTTCATTAAAATTATTCATATTATATGTACAAGCATACATAAATGCCAATTATTAGATTTGATTTACATTATTTATTATTATCTTGATACAACAATTTGAACAACAAAAAAAATATTTATAATATTTATATTTAATATTTGTTGAAAATTATATATATAACTTTAGATTAATAACAGATGTATAACATTGTTAATTTTCACTGAAATATATCACAAACTTAAAAATATTTATTTTACAAAGTTAAAAATTTGCTAATTAAATGTAATAAAATTTTTTTAAAATTGCATCCATTCTTTTATAATTTTATAATTTATATTATTTTTACGTTCATATAATATTATTATTGTTATGTAAATAATAACAATATGTATATATATATGTTGCAAGATCATCATCAATTAGTATGTGATCATTAATTACAATATAATAAAAGAAAAATAAATAAAGGGATTAAGATAAAAAAATTAATTTTTTTTCAAAATTTAAGATAATTTAATATCGAAATTTAAGATCTTTTCTTCTGAAAATTTTTTCTAAAAATTATTCATTTTATGAATTTATGAAAATACAAGGAATTTTATGATGTAAAAAAATAATAATAAAATTTTAAGAGCTTATCTCAGTTTTAATCAATATTTTTTTTTATGATATATAGATTATAATATATATTAATATAAAATACGTAAAATATTATATACAAAAAATATTAATTTCATAACATTTATATTTTTAACAGATTTGAATTTATAATTCATTATTACTTATGGTTTACTAAATTATTCACTTAATTTAGTTATCTTATATCTGTTATTACAATACAATTATTATATCTGTTATTACAATATTACAATTATTAAAATACAGAAAAAAGAAATTGCATTTAAAAAATTAAATAATCAAATCATTACGTCATTTTTCAAATAAAATGAAATTAATATATATAAAATTTATATCATGTTTTTCTGCAAATTAATTATATAATTTAGATTAAGTTGGTATAAAAAAATAGACGGTGCATTTTTAGTGCAATTGAAGTGTTGAATAATTCGCTTAACATTATTCGATGATATACGATTCGCGGTGATTAATTATGAAACACTTCATGTTTCTTATATTAGAATACATTTATATATAGTATTGAGAAAGTTATCAAAAAATAGGTAGATTTTAAACGAAAAAAGATAGCATATGAAAAGGTGCGTATTCAATATTATTGAAGAGATAAACATATTATACAAATTATTATTCTTATATAATTATCTTATTTATAAAATGAAATAAAAAAAATACTAAATGATTCTTTTTTATTAATAATAATAATAATGATAATAATTAATATTTTAATAATATGATTGATCTATATATATATATATATATATATAATTACGATAGTTTGTCAATAGTCGATATTATATCTACATTATAACATGTATGTGTATATTATGTGTTTTTTATTCATTATATAATAAGTTTTATATAAAAATATTTATAATGATTCACAATCTTAATTATGAAGAATTTATATTTCAAAAAACATTCTAAATAAGATTGTACAAAAATCTACATAGAATGTATGTTTACATTAATTATTTGAATTCTGATAAATTATTTTATATGTATTCTCTCACATATATATATAAATTTATCATTATTATCGATATTCATATTTGAACTATTGTAATTATAAAATATCTTGAAAGTTACATCAATACGAATAAAATGCAAAATGCAAACCAATAAAATACAAAAATATATTGTACTATATTATTACATGTTAAAATATGTAATAGATAAATAAATTATATAATTTATATATAATTTATAAAATTATATATTTCATAGATCAATGATATTAAATTATTTTTTATTTCATGAAAATTATATTGTGTACAATAAATATAATGTTATCTTTTTTTTGATCATAATTAACTTAATTTTTTGTGTTTATATTTAAAAAATTACTTTAATTATATGAATATAATTAATGTGCCTGAAGAATAAAAAACTTATTTTTTTTCGTAATTGTTTAAAAAAATATATGAATTAAATGTAAATATAATAATATTAATAATATCAAGATCAATTTTTATAAAAAATATAATAATCTAATCTAAGTGTATTAATTATGATTAATATTTTTATTGAACATGAAAAAAATAAAAATATATTTCCTTTTATTGTATAAAAATTCATTATTTTAAAAATTTGTAAATGCTAAAAATTAATATTTATATTCAATAAATTAAATTATATTATAATAAAATAAATTAAATTAAATTAAATTATATTCAATAAACAAAAAAAAATTATTTATAATATACATATTTCCTTATTGAGAAAAAAGTAAAAGATTCTATATGTTAGATTTATATTTCTATAACAATTATGTAATATTTTTTTGCAATATAACAAGGGAAGCAAATATTAAATTAATATTAAATATATTCTTATGTTTCATACTTATATTTGTTATTGCCAATTTCATTATTCATAAAATAATATTATACTTATTCACAATTATGAAGTCAATAAAATATTATAATTTTAAACACTAAATTATTGAAGATCATATTCATTGAAAAATATGTTTGAAAAACTAACATAATAGTTCGAGAAAATTCATTTTGAATACAAAAACAATGATGCAAATAATGATGCGATGTTATGATGATGTTAATTAAACCGAAAAAACTGTTTACAACATAAAAGGAAATTTATATATAGCTATTTGTAAATATATGTATATATAGCTATTTGTAAATCGAATGTATATAATAAGTTATAATACAATTATATATAACTATGTATGAAGTAGGTCGACATATATGTATGTATGTATTATATTAAATACAGTGTATCTTCGGTTTAGCAAATAATTTAACTAGATTTTTACAGCTCTTCACTATCTTTTTAAAATTAAAATTATATTTTATTACTATTTCGTTAATATATTTTGATTGAATTTTTTGAATAGGATGAAAAGATTTTATTTATTCATAGATACAAATGTCGTTTATCAGATTATATATATTATAAAATTGAAGAAATAATTATAAAATTCAGTATATGAAAAAAATTTACTCATTAAAAATGCAATGTGATGAAATTTTGTGATAATAAAGAAATTTTGTGCTCAAATTTTTGTAACATAAATCGAAATTATTTTACATTAAAAAAATAATATATTTTTAATATATTATAGAAAACTATTTATATCTAATTAATAATATTAATTCTTATACATTTTTTATACATTTTTATACATTAATAATAATAATATATATTAAAAATAAATAATAGTTAGTAATACATTTTAATTTAATATTTTTATTTGAAAATTAAATACTTATCTTCCATTATCAATTTATAAATCTATTTAACTCGATCAAATATTTTATTATAAAAGCGAAAGTTTCTATTTAGTAAAATTAATGAGATAAATAAGAATTAGATTCAGGATATGACATATATTTGAGTAACATAAATATTATAGTAATTGTATTAGAAAAATATGTTAAAAAATATAGAATAATATTTTTTTTCATTCATATATATGATTAATTTGAAACTTTAATTGTTAATTGAATATGTATGATATATAAATATATAAAAATTTTTTAAGTATACATACATTGAAAATCCAAGCGTTGTTTAAAAAAATATTCACTAATTAAATAATAAGTACTAATAAAATATACTTGATATATGATTATCATTCACTCTATACTATAAATATTAAATTACGGGTGCAGTAAGAAAAAAATCGCCTATGGTCTTTTAGGCAGCAGTGCCTGAAGGATAAGTGAAAATGGTAGGAAGTTCGGTGGGAAAGAATACATTTGCCCCACCTTTCGGAACAAATCTCCCTACTCCTCTGAAACGTTAGCACGTCGCGCTTCGCTATCGCACGGAATCACGGACAAATCAAACATGGCGATTCAGTCGCTGTTTGCAGTGAAGACGTACGGTTCGTAAAACGGGAGTGGAAGGTATTGGTGGACGAGATAGTGTTTTTAAGCGGTAATGAGTGCTTGTATCACTGCAAATCGCCGAATTTTGGTCAATATTATAAATATGGAGAATCATGATGTCAAAACGGTAATGGAGAAAGTGTCGGACGGCATTGATAAAGTACATGACGTGAAGGGCGTACAAGCAGAGCCGACGCCTGCGGCGTCATCGTTGTCGTTGCCTGTTTCGGAACAAGTGTCGCTCTCTACCGGAGAAAATATCAACAAAAATAATTATATTAATAAGAAAACCGTAAGATATTTGCTTTAGTTTGAATATTTAAAAATATTGTGCTACAAAAGTTAAATATTTTAAAAATCATTAATGTAGTTTTGTATTTTTACAATGAAATTCAAATAAAGTTTAGTAGAAATTATCATATAAATTATCATATTAAATGATTCTTAATCGTAAAATTTTTAAAATAAATATTACAACATAATATGTAATAAGATATTTAAAGTATTGAAAATTAAAAATTAATATAATTGTTTCTATGTTTTAGTGTTCTAAATTATTAATAAAAAATTCTGGAAAATTTGAAAGTGGTAGTGGTAGTGGAGATCAGGAGGGAGGTCAGCATGAAGATGGAATTGATATTGCAGCGAAAAAAAGAAAAACTCGTAGAGGTAAACCTAAACATAGAAAATTAAAACCATATTCAAAACAACAATTATCATATCAACAACAGCTGCGATATAGATCTAGAGGTCGATTAGCAAAAACTGGTAGACAACCTCCAGCACTATATAACACTACACAATTTCTTATGGATGATCATAGTGATCTTCCAGATCTTGACCAAAAGCTTTCAGAAGCTGCATCATCAGAATTACCTGCTACATTTCAAAAACCATCAGCCCCTTCTCGTACTCGAGATTCTAGTTTCAGTGTTGACTCTGATGAAGATTATTTTTATTCGTCTCCAGAAGACGAAGAAGAATTCTTGACAAAGGAATTCTCAACTGCATATGAAGATCTTCATGCTGAAAGATTAAGCACATTAAGTAAATCAGAACTGATACAGGAATATCTGCAATTAGAAGCAAAAGTAGATTTATTAACAAAACGACTACGTGGTAAAAATTTTCATCAAACAGAACAACGAGACTTGGAAAGCAACAGTAGTAGTACAGATTCAGAATCAGCAAAAAAATTAAAAATCTGTCAACAACGAATTGATGATTTAATGCAACAAAATGAACAATTAAAACGAGAAAATGAATTATTAAGAGCTAAAAGGGACGGCAGTCCAGTTTCAAGTGTTGATAGCGAAAGCGACAGTGATAGTACAAGTAATGAGAATAGGAGCAGATGTAGTTGTCTCCTTCCAAATTCTAGCTCTTCTTCAGAACTTATGGGATATGTTTCTAGAAGTAAAAATAGTCAGAGAAAAGATAGTTCTGTCTCTAGTACTGATAGTAAAAGTGATACTTGTGATAGTAGTTCAAGTGAGAATTCTAAAGCATCTATGACCCCAGTTAATCTTTCAAATGGTCATGTAACCATTCAAAAAATTGATGGTCTCCCTACATAAATTATAAAAAGCTGTTTTTATACACCACCATATAAGAATCTATTGAATGTTTTAAAAATTAACTTACAAGTCATGTTAAATATGTCATTGGTCCTGCATATTTGCTTTTATCCTACCAATTTAGGAAACAAGACTGGTTTAAATGCAATATTGCATTTGTGCAGTAAAAAATCCTCTTTCGATATAAGATATGTAACCTAGATTGTCCTTAAATGTGCCCTTATAATTTACTTCCCTTTTTTTTTAAAACTGTTTTGTGTAAACTTAAATATGTAATGGAATAGGAAATACATACCTAATCTTATGAAAAAGTAAAATTTATATCTATGCAGGCTAAAGTATTACAAAGAGCTGTATTATATTTGTGGTGTATTTTCTATATTTTATCTTCATTTGATAACAATTGTGATGCAGTTAAATATTTGTCTTTTAGTAGTCTGTTTTCAATGAACTGCCATTTGATGGTACAAATGTATAAATTTGGGGTTTACAGACCATCAACTAATAAGTTATAAAACTAGATCTAATTAAAATAAAACTATATTAATATTAAAAGTAATGTGATATTGTACAATTGTATAAATTAAAGTATCATATTAAATATTAGTTTATGGTCTGAATATAAGATATGTTAAAAATATTTCACATATTTTAAATTTTTAATAAATTTCAAAGTTTCTTTCTTTTATTATAATTATTCTCCTGAAACTTAATGCAAAGAAGTGAAGAGCTTCATCTAAAAAAATTCTTCAACAATGTGAATATATCTGATTATGAAATAGCTTTATTATGATATAGAATATAAGATCCCCATAAAAATTTAATAAATATGTATATTGTTAGTATCATAAGATATATTGTAAAATGTACATACAATTTAATTTTTTTTATTTCTTAAAAAAGTGATAAACGGAATTCTATCTATAAAAAAGTGTTTTTTTAAGAAATGAATTTAAATAACAAAAAATTTAAATAATTAATTCGCATTTTCTAATTGAATATGAGATACATAATTTTTTTGCATTTTTTTTTTATGAAATTAAGTTTCAATTTAAATATGTATATTTGCTGAATAAGCAATATAAGAAGTAACTTTTATTTAAAATTTTATTTTAAAATATTCCTTATGTTTATTGTGAACCAGGCTTAATACACTGTGAATCGTTGCTAACTTCGTGGCGCGTGAAATTGAAAAGCACGCAAGGCCAGCGTTTGGTCGTATCTTATGGTTGAAGTGTTAACAAGTTTCTAAAAGTTGTTGGATTAAATATTATGAAAGCGATGTCTCATCATTATGTAGTAACGGCACACAAGCCTACAGCTGTCACCGCATGTGTGACAGGTAAGTAAGAGAAATGTACAAAAAAATTCTACGCTTACATAGATAAACAATTCTTTTCTTTTTACGTATCAAGGTAATTTTACTTCCCCTACGGATTTGAACCTCATTTTAGCAAAAAATGTTCGATTAGAAATATATCTTGTTACTCCAGAAGGTTTAAGACCATTAAAAGAAGTTGGAATTTATGGGAAAATTGCAGTTGTTAAGTTTTTTCGGCCGCCGGTAAGGTTATACTAGTATCTTATTTGTTAATTTTCATAAATTATTTTTTTTATTTTCATATTTTCATGTTGATATTAAATATAATGAAATTCGCATATTTTATTTAATACATATATTTATGATATTTTTATTTTATTAAGAATAATATAACCTTATATGTATAAAGAATTATTTTTCATTCATGCACATATATTATTGCATATAAATATAAATAATAAGTATAAAATATAATATAAAATATAAATAATATAAATAAATTAATATGATTTTTAAATCATATTAAAATAAATCAATATGTAATTAATTGATTGGAATATCTCTACAGCATGAAAAAAAAGATCTTTTGTTTCTTTTAACTACACGTTATAATGCTATGATTTTGGAATGTATTGGAGAAGGAGAAAATATAGAAATTATAACAAAAGCACATGGAAATGTAGCAGATCGTATTGGAAAAGCTTCAGAAACAGGAATCAAAGCTGTAATTGATCCTAAAGCACGTGTAATTGGTCTACGATTATATGATGGTCTCTTTAAAATTATACCTCTTGATAAAGATAATCCAGAATTAAAAGCATCATCAATACGTATGGAAGAACATCAAGTACAGGATGTAAATTTTCTTCATGGATGTGCTAATCCTACATTAATTTTAATTCACCAAGATATTAATGGAAGACATGTTAAAACACATGAAATTTCTTTAAGAGATAAAGAATTTGTTAAAATACCTTGGAGACAGGATAATGTAGAACGTGAAGCTATGATAGTTATTCCTGTACCTTCTCCTATTTGTGGTGCAATAATAATAGGTCAAGAAAGTATATTATATCATGATGGGAATACATATGTTGCTGTTGTGCCTCCAATTATCAAACAGAGTACTATTACATGCTATGCTAAAGTCGATAATCAAGGACTTCGTTATTTGTTAGGAGACATGGCTGGACATTTGTTTATGTTATTTGTAGAACAAGAAAAAAAAACAGATGGTACGCAAGTTGTGAAAGATTTAAAAGTTGAACTTCTAGGAGAAATTAGTATACCAGAATGTATTACATATTTAGATAATGGAGTAATATTTGTTGGTAGTAGATTGGGTGATTCACAATTAGTTAAATTAATTACAAAAGCAGATGAAAATGGTTCGTATTGTGTACCAATGGAAACATTTACAAATTTAGCACCAATAGTTGACATGGCAGTAGTTGATCTTGAAAGACAAGGTCAAGGACAGATGGTTACATGTTCTGGAGCTTTCAAGGAAGGTTCTCTTAGAATTATAAGAAATGGAATAGGTATTGAAGAACATGCAAGCATAGATTTGCCAGGTATCAAGGGTATGTGGGCATTAAAAATTGGTGGTGGCAATTTTGATAATACCTTGGTTTTATCTTTTGTTGGACAAACCAGAATTTTGACCTTAAATGGAGAAGAAGTTGAAGAAACAGATATTCCAGGTTTTGTTGCTGATGAACAAACTTTCCATACTGGGAATGTTACAAATGATTTATTTATTCAGATAACGCCAACATCTGCTAGATTAATTTCATATGAAACTAAAACAGTTGTTTCTGAATGGGAGCCAGAAAATAAAAGAACTATTAGTGTAGTTGCTTGTAATGGCACACAAGTACTTTGTGCTACTGGAAATGATTTATTTTATTTAGAAATTTCATGTGGGCAAATTTTACCAAAAGGATTTACTACTTTACAATATGAAGTTGCTTGTTTAGATATATCTCCATTGGATGGTAATACAGAAGCAAAAATTGCTGCAGTAGGTTTATGGACACATATTTCTGTTCATATTTTAACTTTACCTGCTTTAGAAGAAATTAATAAAGAATTACTTGGTGGTGAAATTATACCTAGATCTATTTTAATGACATGTTTTGAAGGTAATACATATCTGCTTTGTGCTCTTGGAGATGGTAGCATGTATTATTTTACTTTACACAAGCAAAATGGTATACTTTCTGACAAAAAGAAAGTTACTTTAGGTACACAACCAACAGTTTTAAGAACTTTCAGATCATTGTTCACCACTAATGTTTTTGCATGTTCCGATAGGCCTACTGTAATTTATTCGTCGAATCATAAACTAGTATTCAGCAATGTTAACTTAAAGGAGGTAAATCATATGTGTTCTTTAAATGCAGAATCATATCCTGATAGTTTAGCATTAGCAACTGATAGTACAGTAACAATTGGAACAATTGATGAAATTCAAAAATTACACATTCGAACTGTTCCTCTTGGAGAATCACCAAGACGAATTGCTTACCAAGAAAGTTCTCAAACATTTGGAGTAATAACAATGCGTGTTGACATCCAGGATAGTAGTGGTGTTAGCATTGTAAGACATTCAGCATCTACACAAGCAGCTTCTACATCTAGCAGCAGTCATATTGCATCTTATAATAAACCTACAGGACATACAGCTAGTGACATTTGTCAAGAAATTGAAGTACATAATCTACTTATCATTGATCAACATACTTTTGAAGTTTTACATGCACATATGTTAATGCCCACTGAATATGCATTATCATTGATATCAACAAAATTAGGTGAAGATCCTACTTCCTATTACATAGTTGGAACTGCACTTGTTCATCCAGATGAAACTGAACCAAAAATGGGTAGAATACTTTTATATCATTGGAGTGATGGAAAACTTACACAAGTAGCTGAAAAAGAATTAAAGGATCATGTTATTCTTTAACTGAATTTAATGGAAAACTTCTTGCTAGTATAAATAGCACTGTTCGTTTATTTGAATGGACAGCAGAAAAAGAACTCAGATTAGAATGTAGTCATTTTAATAATATTATTGCTCTTTACTTAAAAAGTAAAGGCGATTTTATTTTAGTTGGAGATCTTATGAGATCTCTTACATTGTTGCAATATAAAACAATGGAAGGTTGTTTTGAAGAAATAGCAAGAGATTATAATCCAAATTGGATGACTGCCATTGAAATTTTAGATGATGATACCTTTTTGGGTGCAGAAAATTGCTTTAATTTATTTGTTTGCCAAAAAGATAGGTAAATTGTTAATTTGATAAATTTGTATTATATTTATATACATATTAATATTATAAAATAATAATTAAAATTTATTTTAGTGCTGCCACTTCAGAAGATGAAAGACAACAAATGCAAGAAGTTGGACAATTTCATTTGGGTGATATGGTTAATGTTTTTCGACATGGATCTTTAGTAATGCAAAATTTAGGTGAATCAAGTACACCTACACAAGGTTGCGTATTGTTGGTACTGTTAGCGGTGCAATTGGTTTAGTTACACAAATTCCATTTATATTTTATGAATTCTTAAGAAATCTTGAAGATAGATTAACAAGTGTAATAAAAAGTGTTGGTAAAATAGAACATAACTTTTGGAGAAGTTTTAATACAGAATTAAAAATTGAACAATGTGAAGGTTTTATAGATGGAGATTTAATCGAAAGTTTTCTTGATTTGAGTCCTGATAAAATGGCAGAAGTTGCAAGTGGTCTTATGGTATATTAAATTGTTTCTTAAATTATTTAATATGTATATAGCTTATCATATTTTTAATTCATTTTTTCATTAATAGATTGACGATCCCAGCGGCATGAAAAAAGAAGCAACAGTAGATGATCTTGTAAAAATAGTGGAAGATCTTACAAGGATACATTAGGCATAATTTTTGCTGATTCTTGTATAGTTTATTATATTTTGAAAGGCTCACGAATAGATTTATAAGAAAAATCTTAAATATTTGAGAAACTAATTAAGAAATGTATAAACATTTATGTATTTATCATTATTAGTACAAGATAGCAACAAACTATATTTTTCTTCTTTCTAATTTTTGTGGAAATCATATTGTTTTGTTTTCTTGTTGTATATGCTTGTACTTTAATTGTACTGTTTATATTATCATGATAGTTTGCATCAAATCTCGTACATACGCATATATAAATAATCAAAAAGTTTCTAAACTTATTTTAAAAATATACTATTAGTATAAATCGATAAAAATAAAAATCAAATGTTTTCAATATATCTATTTCAGTATTCTTATAATTATATCAAATACAATGTATTTCTTGTAATAATAAATAACATTTATTTAAATAATTTTTATTTTAAATTAATTTAGAAACTTTTTGATTGATAATTATATAATTTTTTTTTTAACGTTTCGAAAATATATTAAAAAATACATGAGTTAATTAATTATATTAACATCAAATTATATGAATCTTGTACGCTCAATATTAAATAATTTCACTTTTGAAGAAATTTTTAGATTTTCTAGAAAAATCTGACAAATGTTATTGAAAAGTTATTCATAGAATCCTTATATTATTTGTAACATTGAGTGTAAATAAAAAAAAATATCCATTTTCTGATAAAATTATTTTGTATTATATATTATTTTTACTTTTTTGAATTTATTGAAAATTTTAAAGAGATCGGATCAAATAACCAGTTTCTTAATTCTTCAATACCTTGATCAGTCATTCCACTAGTTTCAAATACAGATAATTCTTGAGTAACTTCTTTTTGCAAACGTGAATATTGTAGCATAAGTAGGGCTTCATTGCGCATTTGACGATAAGAAAGATCCATTTTATTCAATGTTAATGCGACTTTTATATTTCGCAATCTAGGATCGACTAATAATGAGTAAAGTAATACTCCTGCCGCACTTATTTGACAGAGATTGCTTGTATCTATTACATAAATAAGTTTTTGTGTCTAAAAAATAAAATAACTTCTATAAAATTATAAAGTGATTTTGGAATTTAAATTCAAAACTTTTATAAAAAAATTCACCTTATCAAAGTAATGTTTCCATATTGGTGCCATACTTCCACCTATTTCTTTAATAAGTATATCAAATTCACCAGTGTCGTTTTTTATAGTAAAAAGATTTATACCATTTGTAGAAACGGTATGAGTTGCATAGTCTATTTTATCTCCTTGTAAACGTTTCATTAAAAATGTTTTTCCCGATTTAATAGGACCAAGACAAAGACACATATTAAATCTATTAATTTAAAAAATATTTATATTGTTATGCATTCGTAAATTGATCGTATATTTTATATGTATAAGTACAGAAAATTATTGATTTAATAAATGTTTTTCTATAGTAACTATATTATTTATTAATATCAATTATCAATTGATTATTTCATTATACAAAATAAAATTTAAAATAATATGATAATTTAGGATTTAATAGTTTAGGATTAAATAAAATAAAAATTAAAAAAATAGCTATAAATATTTTTTCTCAATTTAATTTTTAATTATACAAATTTTGAGATATTTTATTGCATTTGTTTATGTAAGACTTTCGTATAATTTAATATATAAAATTTAAAAATTATTATTAGTAAATTATTGTTACTAATTTATATAGAAAACTTTTCTTCAAAAATAAATATTACGAAAACAATATTTTATTATTATATTTATAACAAATACTAAATACATAATGAATTTATAATTTAGCACATTCATTGATATATGTAAATAATAATATAATTTATAAATACAAAATGTTAATTAAATGAAATTATATATGTTAAAGATAAAACAAAATATAATTTTTTGCATATTATATTTTCTCAAAATAAAAATTTTCATAATATATTAATATAAATAAATTTTTTTAACATTTTTTGTTAATATCATTGACAGAAACATATCTTTCTTCCGGTTTATTAAAGAATATATTAATTATTAATTATAATATCATATATTAATAGATAAAAAATAGATAACAATTTAATGACAAAGATTTACAACGCAAAAATTATTATAGCATTTCTTATTTGAAAAGATATGCATTCTATCAATAAATTAAATTCATATTTCTTATTTATTTAATTCAAATAAATTTTTCCATATAAGTTTAGTTTAATATACTTCAATTCTTTGCATTCAAGCAAATTATGAAATGTTGTCAGCTACTTATAAATTTAATGTAAAATAACAATATAATTATTACTAATACTTATATTTATTATGTACTTAGATATATAATCTGATAACATTTAAAAATGCAGGTACAAAAGAAAAAAATAAGTGCAAAAGTTTAAGAACTTTAAATGATAATGATGCTTTTTTTTTTTTTAAATTAAAATTACATTTTTTTATATTTTTATTGAAGAATATAAAATATAAAAAAAAGCAATATGTATTTCGCACAAGGCACAGGAAGTTTATTCCCAATAGTGCGAATTGTGAAATATTAAAATAGAATAAAGTGTAAGACTCTAATAAGTTTTTTGAATTTACTATAAATACTCGTATTTTACCGCAAAATATCAATAATTTATCTAATTTTTTGTACAAACATATTTATATTATTTATGTGCATTGTTTCTTAAATAAAATTATATGTATATATGTATATATATATATATATATATATATATATAAATTCATATTTCTTATTTATTTAATTCAAATAAATTTTTCCATATAAGTTTAGTTTAATATACTTCAATTCTTTGCATTCAAGCAAATTATGAAATGTTGTCAGCTACTTATAAATTTAATGTAAAATAACAATATAATTATTACTAATACTTATATTTATTATGTACTTAGATATATAATCTGATAACATTTAAAAATGCAGGTACAAAAGAAAAAAATAAGTGCAAAAGTTTAAGAACTTTAAATGATAATGATGCTTTTTTTTTTTTTAAATTAAAATTACATTTTTTTATATTTTTATTGAAGAATATAAAATATAAAAAAAAGCAATATGTATTTCGCACAAGGCACAGGAAGTTTATTCCCAATAGTGCGAATTGTGAAATATTAAAATAGAATAAAGTGTAAGACTCTAATAAGTTTTTTTGAATTTACTATAAATACTCGTATTTTACCGCAAAATATCAATAATTTATCTAATTTTTTGTACAAACATATTTATATTATTTATGTGCATTGTTTCTTAAATAAAATTATATGTATATATTATATATATATATATATATATATATATATACATATATATATATTACAGATTAAAATTTTGAATCTGTATAAAATTTTATAAATGGTCATTATAAATAGATTATACTCCAAATTTAAAAATTTTTTTTAGGAGTACGACTAGATTAGAATCTATCAGTTCAAACTTGATTCAATAATAAAGATAGTACTTGTTCAGGCATTTGCCATGACTGCAAACGTTTATCTTTGCTACCAGCTATAATCTAAGAAAACAATTTAATATTACATTTAATATAATATTCTAATAATATTTTAATAAATATTTTATTATGAAAATAATATACCTTATTATCTATGACTTCCATACTTAATAACATATTACCAGGTCCTGGAATACTACATACAAGTCGATGATTCTAAAATATAAAAATTAATATAATTTTTACTATTAATATTTCATTATTATTATTTATATTTTATTATGTTTAATATTAACCTTTGTATCAAATACATAAATATTTCCATCATAACAACCAGCAAACAATAATTGTTTATATAAACGCATGCATACGATTCCTACACCAGCATTATACTGCATTGTTTGTTCACCATTCTATAAAATAAAAAAAATAAAGAATGATTTTTATATAATAATGTAATATTACAATAATAATATGATAAGATATATATACTATGTTATTACGAACCGTAAAATCAAATACAGGTATAGATGTGCTACTCGTACCACAATAAATAAAATTATAATCACGCATCAAACTATATACTGTATGACTTTTTTGACCACAAATCGTGCGAAGAAATAGGCCGTTCTGAGCATCTCGTATTGTTATCGGCTGATTACGTGATGCTACAATAAGAACTCGTCGTGGACCCTCATTAGTTGCTTTTAAAGCTAACACAGACTTATCTGAGAATTGTATGCTATTTCCTTTAATTATACCTGACTGAAATATTTATGTCTTTCATTATAAAGATAACTCATATCTATTATACAAAAATAATTTTATTTCAAAAATTTTTCAACAAACCTTCATATGATAACGTGATACATGACCTGATTTAGTGCCAATAAAAATTATTCCCCATGCTTCATCCATACATTGTATTGGACTACTTATATCTGTTGTATCTCTTATTTGTATTCCAGTCTAAATAAAATTTAATATTTATAATATATAAGTATATAACAAGATAATAATTCAATATATGATAATATATAGAAAAATGAAATAAATAATAACATTACATTATATATTACATTAAATTTATAGATAAATATATTATTTACCATTATATTGTAACATCGTAAAGTTCCATCTAATGAACCAGAAAACATCCATTCTTTGTTAATATCTATGCTGTTTGCATTATATACATATAAACAAGTAACTGCTGCTTTATGACCTTTGTAAATGTTTAATATTCCATTAGATGTTTGATTATATCTATATATTCTACCATCTTCACTTGCAGCTAGAAATGAATTCTCAAAAACCTATAAAAAAATATATTTATTTTTATTATTAATTTGTTAAATTTAATCAAACTTCTAGTATTTTCATAAAAGTTATTTATTTTATATTAATAATTGAATCATAAAATTATAGTTAAAAATAAAAATAAACATAAAATAAATAATTGTATAATTATAAAATAAATAAAAAATAATTCATAAGGCCAAGAAAAATAACAAATAAAAATTTAAAAAATAATTATTTTTTAATTTTATTAACTATTTCTTTGTATTTGTACATTTATCTATATATATATATAGAATGTCAATAGAATTCTTTATAAAAATAAAAATAAAGAACAAATAAAATGTAATCAAAACAAATAAAATACATTCTTCAATAAAAAAATATAGAAATATATATATATTTATAAAATAAATAGATTTAATATATTATAAATATTTAAAAAAAATATAAATTTATCTAACTCAGAAAAATAAGAATAAATAAGTTATTTTAATGTTTTCATTTCATTCTGGTTTTATTATGATGTCGCTTTTTCTTTACCTTAATATCTAAAATGGGACCTTTATGTACTGTATATTGTGTTCTCAGTAGTTCTTTATCTTCTGTCATATTTATCACAGTCGGTGTCGATTCACAATTATTGTATTGTTGATTCTTGATAACTTTCATTTTTTCTTCCATAATTTCAATATCTGGCTTATCGTAATTTTGTATATTATCCATAGTATTTGGTTCTTTTATTAAAATTGGCATAATTTCGGTATCATTGTTAATATATTCTTCTTTATCATTTACAAGTGAATTTTTTATAGATTTCGATATTTTTTTGATTTTAACGAGATTTATTTGATCAGTAGTGGATCGTGTTGTATCATCAAATGTTTTAATTAATTTTGAAGTTTGAGTTTGTGAAAATTCGGTCAATGATG